GGGGGGAGGGGAGGGCTTTGAGGGGGGAGGGGCAGGTGAGGGGGGTCATAACGGAGTTAAGGAAGGTGATGGGAGTTGGAAAACCAAATGGTCCATGAGGGTTTTGCATACATTTTCGACATCTGTAATCAGTTTGATTTAATTGAAAAAAGTGCACATTGAATGAGGGGCGCGGGAGGAGGGGCGAGGGTGGGGGATATTTTCATGGCGGAGGGTCACTGGTACCAAGGGGGACATATGCAAACCATTTTCGGAATTTTTGTTTCACTTCCAACGGCGGTACAGCGTTTTTACGCAGCAAATTTGACGAAAAACTCATTAACCCATAAAACCACCCTAACGCGATCGCCCATAACTTTTACCCTAATTGTTCGATTTCAAAAATATAAAAGTCGTTTGATAGGAAATTTTACATACCTTTAAAATGAAGAACTCATTTTGTCAAAAACCCCAAAATAAGTGAGATTTTCCGTAAAAAAAAAAATAAAAAAAATAAATGTAATTTTCCGCCATTTTTTCAAGATTGCGGCCATTTCCGGGCAAAATTTTTGTTGGCTAACATCAGATTCGGATTCAGCGACCAAAATTACATAGGAATCCGTCTTCCTTTTTTCTCCTCAGATTTTCGCAAAGTAGACCCCTTTTTTGGGCCAGATTGACTGGACTGTATAGTCCCGTGATACAGAAATTTTGACTGCTGGAAAAAGGCACTCTAGGGACTTTAGAAAATATCCTGAAAGTTGCAGGGCGGCATGAGATTGCGACTTCGTGGCTCCTAAACTAAATTTCAATGAAGGAGACAAAATGTTAGAAAGGCACTGAATGTTTGCAATACGTAGGCTTGTTAACAAAAAGGACAGTTGAAAATTGCTGAGTTCTAGAAAGCTGAAAGCTAAAAGAAAAACTGAGTGTATGAAACATTAAATTTGCTATTTCATGAGAAATAACTACCTTACAGCCAGGATATTCTGTAAAAACTCTGAGCATAGCAATTTCAGCAGCGATTGTCTTGCCAGATCCAGTTGGCGCTCCCAACAAAACATTGCTATCAGTATGATACAGGCAATGAAAGATCTGAGTTTGAATTGGGTTAAAGTGTGAGAATTTGTATAGATCTTGAAACTTTTGATTCTTAAGAGCAGTTGTTGGCAAAGGTTGTAACTCTAGAAGATCTGGAACATTAAGAAAAATATGCGTCAAGATATGAGAAAAAATCTCAAATTTTTTTACTGCAGGTGCTCCAAAGGTAGATGGATAGACATATTCTTCAATTTTAGAGCTAACTTAGAGCATGATACAAATTCGCATGTCATGTTTTAAAGCTAGAATTTTATCCTACTAGATGGGACTCAAAAATCTTATTCAATCAAGAACTGACTGGGTGAAAACAATTTCAGTGAAGAGTACTATTCACTTACTGGTAGGTTCTTGGCAAACATGTTATTAAAATTGAAATTAGTCACTTAAACTTTGCCAATGCATTTTTTTCATTTTCAAAAATCTTCATTCGTCCTAGCCACTTGCTGGCCTCCTGTGGTGTAAAGGTTTTAGGGCTTGCTCTGTGATCAGGAGGTTCCGAATTCGATTCCCGGCCAGGTGACCCGAGTTTGATGGTCTCAAACAACAGTTATATGGGGCTGGCTTGATCAGGGATGGACGCAGGATAGGACTTCGAGGGCAGTTCCCTTGTGAGATGTTTGAAGAATAAAAAAAAAAGTAAACTTTCTGATTTCTGGTTTAAGCAATAGTCATTTTGAACAGCATACATTCTGCAACTGAACTGGAAATCATCCAGTGATTACAATGTACAGGGTGTACCAAAAGTCCGTCCCACCCCTGCTAACTTTTGAACGAATTGAGCTAGGGTAATGAAACTTTGGGAATGTACCTATCTCAAAGGGGACCATCTTTTGAGGGTGTCAAAATTTTGGGCCCCCCTCAGGGAGGGCGCGGGGGGTCCCCAACTTTTTAATTTCAAATGGCAACCCCTATCTTGTGATACATCATTCGAAAGAGCATAAAAAACTAAGAATTTTGGCGCAAACCGCAGATCAATATCTTAATTTTTGACCGAGTTATGATAGGTCAAAGGTCAAATTTGACCTATTTT